CCAAGGAAGTACTTCATTTAATTTCACACATACATAGCTGGAGAGAAATTTTCCTCGAGATTGAGACTTTCGGGATTTGGATGAAACTAGATTTTGGGCTTTTGAGCTGCTATTGGATAGATCAAAGACTTTAGGGAATATGTAAGACTTCTTTGGCTACTGTGTTTTGACTCTCGAAAAACATCCAACTTTACTGAGTTGTAGATATTGCCATCTTTGGTGCTAATGGCCTCTCTATCCTGATCCATCTGCTTTCTCTTGAGAAGGAAGCCTGAGGAAGACCAAACTGGGCAAGTGGGCTAAAGGACATGAGGGAATGCATGGACACAGGACAGGAGGGGGTTTCTGGAGAGCAGGAGTGGAGGGACAATAAGTGTGAAAAGGTGGTGTCTTACTCTCATCGCTAAGACAAAATATCCAACATCCAAAGTTAAAGGAGGAAGGTTTATTTGGCTCACAGTTTGTAGAGGTTTCATTCCATAGTTGGCTGGCTCCAAGGCAGGTTGGCAGGGTAGACAGACATCTCAGAGGAGAAATAGTTCATAGTAAAGCAGAGTGGGCAGAAAGCAGCAGGCAGCAAGTCCAAAGGACCTTAGCAGCTCTTTCCACCCCTTTTATGTTCAATCTAGGCTACTAGGCTTAGGGTGGGATGCCAAACCAATCAGTGGACTGATTTAGTAATCATACACTCTTAATCTCAGCATCATACACTCTAGATCCAGCCGCCTCTGAAAAAGCCCCCAGCTATGACTGCATGAGGCTTTTGGGGGACATCTAGACACAAGCTATAGTAGGTGGATTCCTGGAAGACCCACACCCCTACAGAGACAAAGACCAGGAGCAGCAAGAACATCAGGGAAAGACAAGGCATCCTGGAGACATTTCAGTCCTTCCTGTCATGAAGCATCTGCTGAGAGGGGCTGGATCCAAGGCATCTGTGATAGTAATGTTTAGTCCAGAAACTTGCTTTCCATGTCCACAAAGTCTTCACCTCCCTTGGAGGGAACCAGCTTCCCAGCTACAGTCACTTCTCCCTCCCCCACTCCCGTTCCTGCCACTGCAAGATTCAAGAAGGTCCATGCCAGATATGGGCCCTTCATTCTTGGACTTTCCAGCTTCTGGAACTGTAAGAAATAAATTTGTATTCTTTATAAACCACTCAGGCTCAAGTATCCTGTTATAGTAGCACAAAATGGACTAAGACACCCTCTGAATCTAAAAGTAGCTGTCACATTTACTGACAGAACTCAGGAAATCAGACTCATACAAAATATATGAGTCATTTGAGGAATAAAAAATAAGGCTAGGTCTCATAAAAGTTCCTATAAAGCAGAAAGAAAAGTTCTACATTATCAATATGCAGAATATGTATGACATTTATGTATGAGGCAGAAAGCAAGTGTTTCCATCATCCTTTGAGAGTTCCATGACTCTCAGAACACAGATGAAATCTAATAAGAATATATTAAAATTTTCTAGTCTGATGCTTCACCGGGCACACGTAAGATAAAAATAATTTTGCATTTCTTTTAGCTTCAGATCTAAGAATGCTATGATTTTAATTTCTCACCACTAATATAAATATATTATCACTAGTGAAAGTTTGTATTTGTAATACTGCACTACAGAAATTAAAATAACTTTCATAGATTTTTTCCTACAATGTCAGTGACTAGGAATTAATCTATATAAGAGAAAAAAATTGATAATTCATGGATGCATTGTCCTGTTAGGTTTACTTTCTTTATCCTGATTTAAAAAAAGAAAGTAAGTAAACCACTAAAAATTACTGTGACTAAAAACTGCTCATGAGAAAACAGAGCAAAAAATTCTCTTAAAATGTGGCTTCTATGTGGACTGATTTTCAGAGCAAATTTTTTTCTGGATTCTGGAAACAAGTATGTAATATTTTATATATCAACATCTTAAACAAAAACTTTTAAAGTAATCTGTTCTCTTTTTGGTATGTCTAATAAGACACTGCAATACAAGTATAGATTTTTAAACCATAAGTAGAAGCTTTACTTCTGTCTTTTCACCTATTTTTATAACTTCTTTAAAATTTAAAGTAGAAATAAAAATTCACAAAGTAAAATATTGATTTATGTTGAGAAAGAGAAATGACTATCCATTTACTTTGATTCTGTAAAGACGAAACACCAAAATTTTACAGGTGTTGTGTCTAGTTGTCTAAACTATGAATACTGTCTTTTTGCCTTTTAAATTATTCTGCACTTTTAAATTTTTACACAATCACGAACAAATCTTTTAACTTTCTATCTTATCAATTATGATGTGCTCTTTTCACTATCCATCCACTTAGTGGGATGCTTTTTCCCACTCAGTTTCTAGAAGAAAAGGAAATAGCAAAATCTACTCAAAGGCCAGTTTATTGTTATATCTGAGGAAAAACAACGTTTAGCTCAATCCTCATATCTGATCCACATTATCAGATCAGGATGAGAGTCGATGTTTCCAGTGGTGGTCATTCTTACTAGTGAATAAGGCAAATAATACATTTTGGAATGGCTTTCAAAAATATAACTTGAAACAACATAGATTTTATTTAATTCATTTCCTTTCTTTTTTTTTTCCAGGAAAAAAGATGACACAGAGCTTTCACTAAAAAAATCACAGGCAAGTGAATGATTTAAATAGAGACCATAAATCATAGAGGGAGAGAAGATAATGTTTTCTAATTAACACAACTAAATTCACCAGAATATTACATTTTTTAACTATTCCAATTAATCAAGTTTTGCTGCTTTGATATTCATAGTCTCTGACTAAAAGGAGTTAATAATGGAAATGGAAGCCTTTCAAAAACCATTCTAAAATAGAAAGCATGTGAAAAATAAAAATGCTTTCATGTTTTATAATATGCCAAACGTATTTTCATTCTGGAGGTCTTACAAGGGGGTCACTAGAGCTTTATGTCATTTCCATTTTTAAAGTTAAGTGTCTCTTAAAACTTTTGATCTAATATAATTTATAGTTAATTTACAACTGTGAAGCCTCAGTGTATAAAGTTCCTAATTCACCATTCGAAAGGTAGTATTTGTTTTCCTAGAAGTTGTATTTCACCAACTATAAATGATGGGTGGGTTAAGTTTTTCAAGATGTCTACCATGTACTACGCATACTGTAGAGGCTTTCATGACACTCATAATTCTAGAAAACAAGTATGGTGTTTATTTTAATACGTAATGGCATAGGCTAAGTGGCTATATACCTTACCAAATATTACCCAGGTATTTAATTATAGAGTTCAAATACGAACTCAGGTCTACAATCATTTCAAATTTTGGGGAAATAAGTAGCTTCTTCATCTTCTTGATCCAGATGCTTACACTGTGGTTTAATCAAGTCTCAGAGGCAATCTCTACCTTGCCAAACACAGATTCAAAGGCAAAGTAAAAGAATACATGAAACTCAAAACAAATTATTTTTATATTCTCTTCCAAAAATATAATTGAGCAATACTTGCTAAGTTTGTTCAATCTAAGGAAACCACCTTAGTTTTTATTAAACAAGCTCTTAAGTGAGTCATTTAAAATCTTTAAATTCTGTGACCTATCTAGAAGAGGCTCATGGCTTAATAATGTGAAAGGAAATGCTTATTTACTGAATGCAACACCTTTCAAATTAAAGATCAGAATATAGAGTCTGAAAATAAATGAAGTCAAGGACAGTTCCCCAACTCAATAGGGTGCATGAGTTCACTCTTCTCAGTGACTGGTGCTTTTCTATCCTAGGGTGCTAAGTCTATTCTAAGCCCATTCTTTTTGAAGTCACTGGCAAAGATGACACCTTTCTCCCCATCCTACAGGCCAGGCCTGCCAAAACGGAGCAAAAGTGAGCCACAGAAATGTGCTTGGGGCACACTGCTCACAGCAGTCACCTGAGCCAAGGAAAGGAGGATGCCAAAAACAGTCTCAAGCATGACCTAATGAAGGCTTCCAGCTGACACCGCCAGCCATTCCCAGCCTTATGGCACATTTGAGGGATAGGGAAGTTGCGTTAAATTGGAGAGAAAATTGCATTTGGAGTCAGGTTTGCTTCAATACTTCCCTATCTTTTATTACCTTTGTCACTTTGACACATAATCTTTCTGAGCTTCATCCTTTTAATCCATTGTGTTATCGATAAGGGCCTAATTCAGTGATAGCACATAAAAGATATTCAATGAATTTTGGCTGAATTTAAACTAAGGAACAAGCAGAGTCTCAGCACTCCTCCTATGGCATGGATGATGAATGAACACAAGAAGCACCACATTCTGAAAAGAGCAAGCTGGATAAAGGAGCTGGCCGTGGTGGTGAGTTCCTGGCAGCCAGTGGAAACTGGCCCAAAGTGAAAACAAGGGCAGATGGCAGCAAGAAGAGATCCACACTGATGAGATTCTCTGGGGCAGATCAGAAAATCCAGGAGGCCAGGAAGACAACCCAAGTTTGCTTGATGACTAAAAGAGAATGCAAATCTCATTGATCTTGTTACTAAATGAGTCACAAGGGTGGATAACCTGAGAAAATATGTGAAGCAGTGAAAAAAGTGTAAGTAATTAGTGGATGCTGTGGAACTTTAATTAAAACATTCCTGACTCTGACTGCCTTGTTAACTTCGGTATCTATAGTGACTGGCACATCCTTCATGAAATATCCACATCCTTATTCTTCTCAAAGACTGAGGTGACTCTGACTTCTACTGCTATAAATCCCCTGGAGGAAGAAAAATACCATACCACCTAGTAGTTAAACCTCCTCCTGCATATAAAATCTCTCCAGGAAACACAGAGAAACAGTTCAATTTTAAGGTCAGTCCTAGACTGCATTTTCCACAGAGCTGCATTCCTGGTACCACTCTGCAGTGAAAGCCCCCAGGTTGCTCAGGATCTCGGGAAAGAATGGTATCTGTAGGCCTGATCTTCCGGGGCCAGCCCTACACTACAGGTGTAAACCAAAGTGTTCTTGTCAAAACACAGTGGCATGCATCATGCTTACCGAGGCACTTGTCACCAGGCACTTGGGGAAGGAGCCTGAATCCACTTCAATCCGGCTGGGAAATGACTGAGGAAGGAAACAGACTACCAAGTAACATTCTGTCCTTAATATATTCATTTACTATTTATATCAACACTACGAGGAAAATGTGGCTTTTTTTTTTAAGAATTCCCAAAAAATTCAATATATCCTTAAGTGGAGAAAACTAAAATCTGGGAAAACTATGGGGTAGTCTTACCACAAAGCCAACTACTATATGTTGATCAGAGACAAAACATTAAAAGAACACTCAAGTAAAATAATATTCAGTCTATTAAGGGAAGTTGTTAAAAACAGGTATCACACAATGTAAAAATAGGTCACACACAGCTAAACTAAAAATAAAACTTCCTTTAACACTTAATTACTTGAAATAATTTTGAGGTAGTCTTATGCATTCTTATTATATATAATTCCATCAAAGTTGGTTATTTTATTGTCTAAAGTCCTTTTTTTTGGGTACCGGGCATCAAACTCGGGGCCTTGCACTTGCAAGGCAGGCGGAGTTATTTTATTTTCAAGTCCACAGAAAAACTACATGCTACAACTTTAAAGAGAGGGAGAGAGAATGACTATAGTAAGAAATTGACAACAGCAAATAATACTATAAAAAATCATTACTGCCCAGAGAACTAATTCTAAATGAAACGGGGCTATTTAATGTATGAGCAAATTGTTCTCTATATGACAAGCATATATAATAAAATACACTTTCATATATTTTGGTCATTTCTACAAGGTAATTTTTAAAAATAACTAAATAATTTACTATTTCTGCTTATATAGAACAAGTTTCCTTCTTTTGTTCAAACAATATGGGCTTTTTGTTATATTCTGAGGCTATCAAAAGGAACACAGTTTTATGGACTAAAATAGTAACTGTATTGATGCTAAGACATTTAGAGGTCATTCTATTGTACAGCCACCTTCAATTCTCCCACTTCCTTCACTCTTTTCATTTTTTTCTTCATTTCATTTGTTCTCATATGACCCACACTATAGTCTGCTTTTCTGTACTAAAAAGACCCCCTGAGTGAGGTACCATATCTTATTTGTGTTTGTAACATCATAGTACCTTCTATGTAAAGTCAATAAATATTAGTTAAGCCAACAAAATTTATGTTCAGTATACACAATTTTAGAATACTGGGAAAAAAATTTTCCATATGAAATGGTTAAAATAAAACTCAGAGCTTTGTATTAGTCACTTTCCCACCACTAATACAAAATACCCAACATCTTCAAATTAAAGGAGGAAAAGTTTATTTTGGCTAAAAGTTTCAATGGGTTCAGTCCACGATTAGCTGGCACCAAGGCGGAAATGGCATGGCAGAAGAGCATGGTGGAGGAAAAATGCTCACAGCATGACAGCTAGGAGGCAGAGAGAGAAGCTAGCCAAGGATGAAAACACATCCTTCCAAGTCACGCACCACCCCCCTCCGCCCCATGACCTACCCATTCTGTCCAGGATCCATCTCTAAACATCAAATTTTGGTGGGTATTTTAGATCTAAACCATTAGCAAGCTTGAAAAGGCAATTTATTTATACATTTATCAAAAATGGACACTTACTATATTTAAGACATTGCTTTAAGTTCAATAAGAATAGCAGAATCTGTTTTCTTCATTGAAAGTCCTTATACAATCTTATAGATAGGCAACAAAGTGACACAAAATGAGATTTCAGGTAAGAAGAAAAATAATGTAGGCTACTATACTTGGGTGGGATGAACTATGTTCATTTTTCTGCTTATGTAGGTATTCCCTTAACATAGAAAGGAAGAGACATAGTTATGACTCATGAAAGTATGAAAGATACAGGTTTCTCCAAAACAACTAGTTAAATCTCCCTAGGTGGGAGAGTTCCTCTGGTCCCTGGCTTCTCAACTGTCCCCAATGAGTCCCACTTCCTGGGACTGGTACTGCAGTATGCACCCCTCCCACAAAATACCAGGGTTTGTCTGTGTGACTAACAGCACACAGCATAAGTGAGGGTTATAACAGACTGTGGCTTCCACACTACTCCTCCTTTCTTGGATCTCTCTGTAGGAAGCAAGCTGCCACACCATGAGGATATGCAGGCAATCTATAGTAGACATACATTACAAGAAATGGCAATGACCATGCAATAGTGAGGAAGAACCACGTCAACAGCTTGGAAGTGGATTCTCCCTGAAGATTGTAGTCCTGTTAACAGAAGGACTACAACCTTATGAAAAATCCTGAGTTGAATCAGAACCATCCAGCTAAGCAGTTTCTGGATTCATGGCTCTCAGAAAACTGTAGGAAATAATAAATGTTTATAGTTTTGTTTCTTGAAGGTATTATATTTTGGGGTAATCTGTTACGCAGCAGTAGATGATACTGCTGCTTTTTCAGGAAAAGAAAAACCTATGTAAGTAGTTCAAATAACCAGTGATTCACAGATTTAGGAAAGAACACTTTAGATGGTGAGCCTAGTAAGCAGGAAGATAATGAGAAAGGTGTGAGCTTGAGGTGTCCCCGAAACAGTGAAAAGGCCCACATGGCCGGAATAACGATAGAGAAATATAGCAAAGAAGTAAGGGAAGAGCTAAAATGTCCTTCAAGGAGAGATGAAAAGTAACATTACGTACTTTATACTTTGCAAACAATAATCTTTGTAAAATACTGAGCTACTGCCTAGGAGGTAAGGGTAGAAGTAAGAATACCAGATAAAAAATACTGTATCAGTCCACTCAACAGATCAAGTGATGAGAGCTGTTATCCCTAGTAACTCAGATTAGGATTTAGAAATAAAAATAGGACATGGTAAGATGCAAGGTCTGTCCATATCTTAAAAGCAGAGTGAACATAACTACATGAAAAACTTCTCCATGGAGCCTGCATCATGCCATTAGGTTTCTGAATGACTGAGCATCAAAACAAACTTGGGACAGTAAAATGTGATCCAGTGAGACATAATTTAAAATTCAAAAAATCATTTGTTGGTAAGGAGGCCTAGAAAGAAAGACCTACATCCTTAACAACAATTAAGCAATCAGTAGAACTTTAAGTAAATAATGCTTAAGCAAAAAAAAAAAAAACTAGTACATTAAAAAAAAACAGATCAGGGTGAAAATAAAAGTAAGTTTTATTTTCATATCAATATATTTCCAAAGAAAGAATACTGGGAACTGAAGATCTGCTTGCTGGTTTCATAAAACATTTAGAGAATTTATTAGAGCTTAACGAGAATCTACATGTCCCACTTAAAATTTTCTGAACAGGCTCTATTCACAAGAAGTACGTAAGTGATCATGTCAAAAAAAAAAAACCTTCCTCCTATTTCTTCTTCTACTATATTCACAAAAATCATGTCAAGACGACTCAAAGGAAATATCTACTTACAAATCAAGTCTACATTTGTTTGCCTACCTAGAGACTGATTTTCAGCTTCTGACATTAAGCTGAAACATGAAAAATTAAGATTTAAAAAGTAAAAATAAAAATAAATCGCTGTTAGGATTGTCTTTTTAAAGAAGACCAATATAATGGACTAGTTACACAAATACATATCATATCATGTATATACACAACAATAAAGATCTCACATTAAATGGAAAAAACAGGCAACTTTAAAGCAACAGTATTTATAAGAAACTACTTAAAAATCACATAACTTCCTAAAAAGAATGATAAAGCATCTCCCTCTATGAATTTTCCAAAATCTTTTCCCAAGGCAGTATAAACATATAGTTGTCATAACAGGTGCTAAAACCATCAAGAAAATAATAATGGTATAAATTGACTTTTTTTTTTTTTACAAGAGTCTAAGTGAGCATGAAACATTTCATAAAAGGGAGACATTATGTATGTTCAGCAAAAGTCAACATCAAATCTAAAATGTCCAAGTCTATCTGCAGGTCCACACTTTAACTTGTTTTTTAATTTTTTTTTAACTTACATAAATTAGTACATAAAAATTAATCCTATGGCTTATCATATCTTCTTTCACTACTAAAATCAGCACACTGAGTGTTGAAATACTCTGATAAAGATGTCCTAGATATTTTATGTTACTGAAGAATAGTCATAAACATCCAAATCCTTTGACAGGCCCCCCCTTCTCTTACATTCTTTTTTTTTTTGGTACCGGGGATTGTACTTATTTTTCTTGACAGCAGCAATTGAATAATCAAATTTACACCTCCCATGAGTTGTATGGGCAGTGGGTGCATCCGTAAATATTTGTTGAATAAAATAAAATATTTATGTATTGTTCTGTTTAGAATTCATTCCAGGTGTTCATTATAAATTCATGTCTTCTACCTTGATATTTACAAATGTAACTAAAACTAAATCACATCTTGTAGGAATATGTTTAGAAGCCTGTATCAAGTCACTGTAAAATGATTCTTCAAAAAAAGAAGTGTTCTTTAATTTCACACTATACACTATTTTGAAACTGACTGGTAAATAAATAGGGTCATCATTCCAAATTGCTCACCCTGCACAGCTGGAATTATGCATCTGTGTCTCACCATGCAGTGTGGAGTGCTAAATGCTGTCAGCAGAGTACTCTTCATCATCCTGTGAATGTTGGGCTTGTCTATGTGACTTGTCTGGCCAGTGAAATGTAACCAGAAGTGACAATGTGCTACTTTAAAGGTAATAACATGGGCTCTCCTTTATTCCTGTCATCTAACACAAGAAGTTCATCCCTAGGTGACAAGCCTTTCAACTCAAGTCATGGATTGGAGGCATGTGGAGCCAAACTGAAACTGACCAGAAACCTAACATCCAGGCCAGCGCCCAGGCAGTTAGACTCAGCAGAGCCTGTAATGGCCAAAACACAGCCAAACTACAGACCTGTGAACAGGATTATATCTGTTCTTGTAAATTTGTTGTTGTAAACTTTTAAGATTTGGAAAATGTTACACAACAAAAACTAATCATATTGATGTTCTGTATCCTTACATGACTACTCATACACAATTGCATCAAATCACCTCTTCTTGAGATTTATCTATCTTAAGCAATTAATATGTAATTTTGCTTGGCTATGT